CAGGAGCCAGGAACTCCATCCAGGTCTCCCACATGTGTGTCTAAGCACTTGGGCCCTCTTCTGCTTTCCTAGCAGAGAGCTGGAGAGGAAGAGGAGCAGCTGGGACTTGAATTGGCACTGCATTCTGGGAAGACAGTGTCACCAACGGCGGCTTAACCCGCTGCGCCACAGCACCACTGCACATCTCCACAGTTGGCGCAGTGACTGAGAGCGTGAGCTCTGGAGCCAGGCTGTCTGGACCCGATTCCTTTTTTTAGCTGTGTCACCTTCAGCAAGTCCCTTCACAGCTCTGTGCCTCGATCTCTTCATCTGTAAAATAGGGGTGGTCATAGTAAAAATACTTGGCTTATACAGATGACCTGAAGACTGAGTAATTAATACATGCAAACCACTAAGAATGGTGCCTTGCAGTGTTAACTGTTGCTGTCATCACCACCACCACCAACATCGCCATCAACATCATTTTCATCATCATCACCATTGCCAACACAACCACCATCATCATCTCCGTTACCAGCATCATCTTCATTATCATCACCCTCACCTCATCACCTCCCCCACCACCGTCATTATCACCAACATCACCCTCATCACCTCCCCCACCACCGTCATTATCACCATCACCCTCATCACCACCCCCACCACCATCATTATCACCAACATCATCATCATCATCACCACTGTCAGCATCATTACTGCTGCCACAGAGAAGTCTGAAAATTTCTCTGGGCCTCCAGGATAGAACACAGAATAACAGTCGCCCTGACTTTGTGCAGGAAGCCACAAGCTAGAGGCCAGGGCCCCAGCTCAGGAGAGGATGGGAAAGGAAGGCGCAGGGTGACCTGTGAAAGATACTCTCCCCCAGAGCCTGTATCTGAAGCCAACTCTGCAGGCTGAAAGGTGACCTAGGCAGGAAGGGCTGTTTCCTCTGTTGCACCTGTCACGCCTTCAAGGAATTTGGAAATAATTGAGCTGCCAACCAGTTGAGCCGGGGCTGTTTTGACACACTCAAGGAATGACAGAGAGACCAGGACAAATGCCAGCGATGAAAGGACAGAGCCTCTTCCAGACAGGGAGGTGTCGGGAGCGGGACTGCAGAAGTGTCCGGGCTGGCCCCGGCTTCCTTTAATATTGTTTTAAAAGAGCTGCAGAAGGTGGGGGTGGGGGGAGCACAGCAAGCCCTGGGTTTCCAGATGAAAAGGACAAGAAAAGGGAAATTGATGACATGAAAACAGGAAGATCTTAAGACCCTGTGCAGGTGAGCTGGAAGGAGGGAGATGCATCGAAGGTGAGCAGGTTCAAGGTGACACACTTTACAAAATGAGAGCTTTTAGAGAGCGCCCCTGAGCACACCACCGGCTTCACACATCACCAAGAAGAACAGTAAAAACAAAATTAGACATTAACCTCCTTAGTGTCTTTTCCCCCAAACTCCCTGTGTTTGGGGGCTGCTCTGAGCCCCAGCTCAGTGAGGCGCAGTAGCGTCAAGCCTGGGAACAGATGAACCGGGGGGAGGATGGTTCCAGGGGGAGCCTGTCTCAGCTGAGTGGGCCATCTGGCTTGTTCAAGTGCTGATGGCCTTGTTACCTTTCAGAGGATGACCTACAGAGAGGATAAAAGCCATAATGCTGCTATCAATTCCCAAGAGGCCCTATCAACTCAAGTGGTAGATGACTGTGTTTTTCTCTCCAGAAAGCTTGTGTGCCATCAGGGTCCCCCATGGCCAGTGGCAATATTTGTGAGCCACGAATGCTTGGGGTGAGCTGGTTATAAGGCCACTTCCTATTTCTTATGCCCCACAGTTCAGCGTCCACGATCGATGTCCCTGTGTGAGCTCATTGCCTGGATGGCCTGAAAGGACTCTCTGGCCAGATGGCTCTCCCAAATGAGCTCATTCTGTCTTTTCCACTCCTCCATTTTCTTCCATGAGGCTGAGTTTAAGAGCCAAGCTGATTTGGCTTTTAAACAGTATTATGTGTCATCTAAATACATACATTTCACTGGGGGAAACGTGCTAAATATGATATTCCCGTGAGTCACCCAACAGCTGTGCTGGCCCTGCAGTGCAAACCTGCATCCCCGTCGTCACAGCGCTGGCAGAAGCGTAGAGCAAGGTCACGTTTCAGGATGGGTGAACCCAAGAGGAACAGGGGGAGGCCACCTCCTGGCCTTCCAAGGGGACCTTCAGGATTGCGAAGAAAGAACATCAGCCAAAAAGAGCAGCACCCACAGAAAATTTGGCCAAGGTCCAAGGAGCTCATGATGGATTTGGAATTAATAGAGAGAGGGGAAGACAAGCAAGGTGGAGCTATTCCGTCTCTCTTTGCTTTGATTCCCTACTCTGAGTGTGAAAGGGAAATCAAACCCTTCACCCTTCCCAGCCACCACCGTCGCCAAGTGCTAGGGATCTTGGGTTCACACACAAGTGAGCTAATATTTGCAAAGCCACGCGGTAAAATCAAGAGTGCCATGGGAAGCGCTCCGTTGTCATTATTATCACATAAATGACCGCTTAGGACGGTGGCTGTCTCTCTCCCTGATGTGACGGTGTCGGGGGGGACTGGGAAGAAGGAGGAAAGGGCCTGGGAAGAAAGAAGGTCGCATTGCAGATTTTTGACTTTCAAATGTCAGAGGGTCTTAGAGGAATGCCTTTGCTATAGCCTGCCGTATTCAATGAATTCAAAATTCAGGAGGCAGAAAGATAAAAAAGAGTCCATTTCATTTTACTTTCCCCGGATGACAATTTAGCTCTGCATTTCCATAACCTAATTAATGGGAGGCCACCCATGTCACTGTGGAGGAAGGCGCACTGTACATTACCATATTTCCCTGCTGAGCCCTACTGAGAGGAGAATTTGGGAAGGAATCCTTAAATCACGCTAATAGATTGCCTATTTTCTGGAATCACATCTTGAGACCACCCCCAAGGGACAGCCAACAATCAAAAGGTGTAAGGATAATATTCTCCATTGTTTAGAGGGTTTTTGTGGGAGATTATCCTAACAGAGCTGTCACCTTTAAATCTTAATCCTTTTTTTTTTTTTTTACATGAGTTTCACATTTTCAGAAGTCCAAGAATGCCTCTGGCCAAGGTGGCCTAAGGACATTTCCAAAGGAACAGGCAATCAAGAGAATGAGTCTCAGAAGCAAAGGATGCCCTTTGTGGTGCAACTGTCCCCATAGCCCCAGCTTTGATGTTTGCCCTCCTTGGCAGGCGTGCACACACCTCTGAAGCAGGCAGCCGTGGGTCCTATGCCAAGGATCCCAAGTGGAACGTGCTGTCTTCTAATAAAAATCCAAAATTAAATCCTCGTGTCCTTTGATAACATCTTTCAAAAGCAAAATTGCCTGCTCAATTATCCAGACAGCACTTTTTGCCTATACAGAGAAAAATGGCACGCAACAGAGTTAATACACTTAATATTAGATTTTCAGAGGCATGTACCATACAATATTTGTGTTAGTGGAATTAATTCAATTGAATTGTGCTTACCAAGAAATTATTTAATTATTATATTGCTGGTTGAACAGGTGACATAATAAAATAACATTCTCTTCTTTTTTTAAAAAAAAAGTCATATTTATTGCCGGGTGATAGGAAGAAATCAAGAGAGCAGTGGAAACCATTACTGAGAAGGCTTGAACAACCACAATTTACTACAAAGAGATAAAAACCAAACACCTCAGCCATATTATGGCCATAATTGTCTGCAGTTTACCCATCTTGTAAAATAAACGGATCATGAAATGTGAGAACACGTTTCAAAACATACATAGAAGGTGTTAGAGTGATTATGCGTGGGCTTGCCTGGCTTCCCTGTAAATTGTTTGTCTTTCAGTGGGAAGTGGAAAGGTATTAATTAGCAGTGATTTTGACAAGATGGGAGTCCGCGGGCTTTGGCTGGGAGAGAACTCGTCCAAGGGGCCTGCATGCTTTCAGGGGGATTGGATCTCTTGCGTCTCAGCTTTTAATGGCATTTTGTTGTGTGCTAATCCCTCCTACGGCCACACATTCGCAGATCTGAGATCTGATGCATGTGTGCGTGGCTCCAGTTGCAACACGGAGCTTTCCTCTCCCAGCTCCAGGTGGCAAAGACAAAAGCTGGGCTGTGGAGCTGGCCCCAGGGAGCTGCAGACCGAGGCTCAGGGCAGCGGCCACCGTGCCAGCTGTCTTTTACCGCGTTCGAGGCGCTGGCGCTGAGACAAAATCCGGCTCCACGCTCTCTTCCCTTCCTTCCCGGCTCTCCTCGCTGAGCGCTTGCCACCAGCAGGTCCTGCAGCCACGGGAATTTATCGCTTTCCACTGTTCCCCTTGGCTGCATCCCCAAGCCCAGCGACTCCCCCTCTCTGGAAGACTCCATAACTCAGCCGGCATCTAATCAGCGTCTTGCTGCCTTCCCATCCTTCCCTGCGCCGGAGCCGTGATTCTTTCTCCTTCCCCAGTGGAAGGCAGCTCACAGCACAGGCGATCCTGGAGTGAACCCCACCGCATCTCAGCCTCTCTGCTGAGATGAGCTCCATGATACCCCCACACCGACAGCGAGCCAGCTTCGCCCCAGCCACAGACCTGGCCGCCGTCTCTCGCTCAACGTGTGAGCCCGTGGGTCCCACTCACAGACACAACTGTTGTGCTCTTTCCTGAGACTTTTCGGGGGTTCTGGAGGATTTGTGATGTCCTCTTGTCCAGGCACAAAGAGGGCCATAGGGAAGAGCTTCCTTGGCCAAGCCGGGAACAGGCTGGTAGCGTGTGGGCAAAGGGGTCTGGCGCCAAAGGCCGACAGTCATTCTTGGTCATCTGTCTCGCCCACCACTGATGGAGTCCCCGGCACTGGGGAACGCCCCCACCACTGCGGCTACAGCAGCAGAACAACGTGGAAATGAAAGATGGGTCTTTTGAAGTGGAATTCACAGGGCTCCGTGCTGTATGTGTGGGTGTCTCTGTGTGTGTGTGTGTGTGTGTGTGTGTGTTCACACCAGCTCACTTTTTTTTCTTTTGGCAGTATGGATCAGAATTCATCAGTCCCTTCATTTTGCAAAGGGAGTGCAAGAAACTGTGAGCTTTTGGCCAGAAGATGACCGGTCGCCTGTCATGCACCACTCACGGGACAGGTAGTTGGGGCATAGCCACCATCCCTCTGCACACAAGAAACAGATCACATGTCCAGAAATAAAGTTTTTAAAAATGTATTTATTTTTATTCCTTTGAAAGGCAAAGCATAGGGGGTAGGAAGGAGAAAGAGGGAGAGAGAGAGAGGGATTCCATCTGCTAATTTACTCCCTGGAGATGAACCAGGCCAAAGCCAGGAGCCAGGAACTCTATCTGCGTCTCCCAAGTGGGTGGCAGGGCCAGAGTACTCGAGCCGTCACCCACTGCTTTCCCAGGTGCAGCAGGAAGCTGACCTGAAGTGGAAGTGGAACTCAATCCCAGGCGCTCCAGCGTGTGTAGGGGCATCCCAAGTGCAGCTTAACCCACTGCACCACAATGCCCACCCCGCTGGGATATTTTCAAACGGCTGCATCCTCCAGTGCAGCTCAGAGACCTCACCAAGCTGTGGCTGTCGTCTTCACCACGTGCAATCATGTATCTCACAATTTGGTGATAACAGTAGTAAAGCACCGTTATAGGAGCCATAGAGGATTTTAGGGCAATGGAGCCACTCTGTGTGATCCAGCAATGGTGGCTCCCTTGTGTTAAAACACGTGTGCAGAACACACCACACCAGCAGGGGACCCTAACTCACAGCATGGACTTGGGTCATGATCACGTGTCAATAGAAGTCCATCGGATGTCACAAATGCCCCCTTCTGATGGGGCGAGAGTATTGACAATGTGGACTGTGGGCGGCCAGGGGATACCTGGGAAATCTCAGTATCTTCTGCACCCGTTCGCTGTGAACGGAAAACTGTTCTTCATTCAAAAGCAGTCTGTTAAAACAAACAAGCAAGCAAACATTGGGTCATCCCACCAAAAAGCCTTTATGGAATGAGACCAACTTAAAAATACTTTTTAATTAGCTGTGTCATACAATTGAAGGGTATCTTTGTTCTTTTTCAGGGGGAGAAAGACAGCGGCAGTGAACAAGGGACAGAAACAAAGGGCACCTGCTACAGGCGAACCTGGGACACGTGTCTAAAAATAACACCTGCAGCTCCCTCTTCGGCTTTAATTATTTTAACACCCCTGGTGAGCTGTCTGTGAGCGCGGATGGGAGCATCTCCAGAGCCTCTCCGGCAGCCCCTGACGCTTGGTTTGTTACTTTATTTAAAGCTGACACCCAGCGAGGGAGGGAAGCAAGAAGCTGAGGTCCAGGAGGGACATGGGGAACAACGGCACATCCACCTACTGCTGTCGGCAGGACGCCAGCTCCCCAGACAGCACGGCTACAGAGGAGTCTGAAAAGCGCCCCACGCTCAGACCTCCCGCCCTGCCTTCTCTGCAGGACCCAGCTCTTCTGAGCGTGAAGGCGGAGCTCGTGTCTTTTCTGCGGCACCAGGAACACAGACTCCATCGGTGGCGACAGCAGTCGCAATAGCAGGTGTCTCTGCTGGGCCTCTCCTGGAGAGGAAGTTTCTGGGATGCTGGATTCCGTACCCTGCGGTGGAAGTAGTCGCTTTCCGAATGGTCACCGAGCTGCACCCTTGAGATCCGGTGACTCCCTCTGTGTGAGCTACACCTCACGAAGCTGTGCCTTCCCACGATCTTTAGCTCACAGGCTATGAAAGATGTCAGGTGGAGTGGGTGTTTGGCACCATGGTGAAGATGCCACTTGGGATGCCTCCTCCTATATGAAGGTGCCTGTGTTCAAGTCCCCAGTCTCTTTCCCACCCAGCTTCCTGCTTACGCGCACCCTGGGAGGCAGCAGATCAAGGACGTGGGTCCCTGTCAACCCCGTTGGAGACCTGGATGGAGTTCTGGGCTCCTGGCTTTGACTGGCCCAGCCCCAGCTGTTGTGGGCATTTAAAGACTGGAGCAGTGGTTGGAAGATCTCTCTGCCTTTTTTTTTTAAGATTTTTTTAATTTGAAAATCAAAGTTAGAGAGAGAGATTACAGAGGGAGAGAGAAAGAGATCTTCCATTCACTGGTTCACACCCCAGAAAGTCACAACATCCAGGGCTGGGCCGTGCTGAAGCCAGGAGCTTCTTCCAGGTCTCCCACGTGGGTGGCAAGAGCCCAAACAGTTGGGCTATTTCCGCTGCTTTTCCCAGGCTGTTAGCAGGCAGCTGGATCAGAAGTGGAGCAGCCGGGACTCAAACCAGCACCCATGGCTGGGATGCCTGCATCGCAGGTGGTGGCTTTGCCCACTATGCTACAATGATGGCCCCCTCTCTGCTTTTTAAATGGAAATAAATAGCTGTGGAAGACGAAAGATGCTAAGCACACAGAAGTGTGTGGAGAACAAGGATTTGCAAAGCGTATACGCACAGTGTCACCTTACCACGGCTCAGTACTTTTCCATTTCCTCCAAATCTCATTCTTTCCTTTGTGAAGAAACCTCTGTGGGTCTCTCTGATCCCACCTTACCTGCCTTCCTGGAGGTGACACCATCCCGCACTTAGTGTTTCTGGTCTCCCCAACATATACAGTTTATGTAGCCATAAGAGATCCGTTCTATTGTTCTACAGGATTTTACACAAATGAGATGGCTTAGTTTAAGCCATTCTGCAACTTGCTTTTTCAGGCAAGAGATTTTGTTCGGAGGATGCTGCGTGTGGATTTATGTGGCTCCATTCCTCTCATGTTAACCACCACGCAGCACTCCATTGAGCAGATGGAAACACTGCCATCTATTCAGCCTTCTCCTAAACACAGACCTTTAAGTGGAGACACAAAGGATTCTTTTTTTTTTTTTTTTTTTGACAGGCAGAGTGGACAGTGAGAGAGAGAGAGAGAGAGAAAGGTCTTCCTTTGCCGTTGGTTCACCCTCCAATGGCCGCCGCGGTTGGCGCGCTGCGGCCGGCGCACCGCGCTGATCCGATGGCAGGAGCCAGGAGCCAGGTGCTTTTCCTGGTCTCCCATGGGGTGCAGGGCCCAAGCACCTGGGCCATCCTCCACTGCACTCCCTGGCCACAGCAGAGGGCTGGCCTGGAAGAGGGGCAACCGGGACAGAATCCGGAGCCCCTACCGGGACTAGAACCCGGTGTGCCGGCACCGCTAGGCGGAGGATTAGCCTAGTGAGCCGCGGCGCCGGCCGACACAAAGGATTCTTGCTGCATCCTGAACACCCTCTCCCTTCCTTATCCAGAGTGGCATGTGCACTTACAAGGCTACCATTTCTACTTTTCTCGCTCCGGGTGTGGCCATGTCTATACTCTGACCGTTACTGCATAAGCAGGAGCTTCCTACACAAGAAGATTCCCTTAAAAGGGGACAGACGAGACTGTGCCCTCTGCTTCTCCTCCGTTCCCCTCTTCTTGTCGTTTGGAAGGCGGATTCGAGAGCTGAAGCTCCAGAACCATGTGAAACCAGGCGGTGATACCGAGGATGCGCGCTGCCTGCTCAGCGTGGCCGAGCCTAAAGAAGACAACTTGCGATCCAGTGAGATTCTGAATCTGCTCTTCACCTCGGTTCCCGACTCACAGCCTGAACACCCTTGCAATTGCCTGAGGGATGAAGTCCAGAGGAACACCTTTCGCCATCAGCAGCAAGCCCCTTGCAACCATAGCTCAGTTTACACTGAGTAGCAGCTCTCCACCGACCCCAGAGGGCTTGAGGATGAGGAGGGTCGGAACTGGCAGCCTCCTCTGCCATCGGCCTCCAAGGAGGGGAGAGGAGTAGGAACAGAAGTCCATCATGTGGTCCATGATGTAATCTGTCATCCCTGCCTGTGCAGCAGGACCTCCTTAGAAACCCTAAGGGAGGCCGGCGCCGCGGCTCACTAGGCTAATCCTCCGCCTTGCGGCGCTGGCACACCGGGTTCTAGTCCCAGTCGGGGCGCCGGATTCTGTCCCGGTTGCCCCTCTTCCAGGCCAGCTCTCTGCTGTGGCCAGGGAGTGCAGTGGAGGATGGCCCAAATGCTTGGGCCCTGCACCCCATGGGAGACCAGGAGAAGCACCTGGCTCCTGCCTTTGGATCAGCGCGGTGCGCCAGCCGGCGGCCATTGGAGGGTGAACCAACGGCAAAAGGAAGACCTTTCTCTCTGCTCTGTCTCCTCTCTCTCACTGTCCACTCTGCCTGTCAAAAAAAAAAAAAAAAAAGAAGAAGAAGAAGAAAAGAAAAGAAAGAAACCCTAAGGGAAAGGGTCCCAACAGCCTCTGAGATGACGGATACACTGAGATGCTGGGAACCCAGGGGGCAGCAGGAGAGGACCAGCTGCTCGGCACCCACCCCACTCCTTGCCCTCCACCTCGGGGGCTGTGCTCCCTCCAGTACCTGTCAGACTCAAGCTGAGCACTGGGCCACGCAGCGGGGGTCTGGAGAGATGGAGAACTGGCCGGTGTGAGGGAAAGCGCCATGATGTGGGGAAAGCGCTGGAAGCACAGCTGGGAGGAGGGGCCGGAGCTCCTGCTCATACCCAGCTTCACGGGACCCTGCCAGGCGTCCAGCCGGGCGTCCAGCTTCACCGACCCTGCCAGGCGCCCGGCGTCTCGGGACCCTGATAGGCGTCCAGCTTCACGGGACCCTCCCGGACGTCCAGCCGGGCGTCCAGCTTCACCGACCCTGCCAGGCGCCCGGCGTCTCGGGACCCTGATAGGCGTCCAGCTTCACGGGACCCTGCCAGATGTCCAGCCGGGCGTCCAGCTTCACCGACCCTGCCAGGCGCCCGGCGTCTCGGGACCCTGATAGGCGTCCAGCTTCACCGACCCTGCCGGACGTCCAGCCAGGCATCCAATTTCACCGACCCTGCCAGGCGCCCAGCATCTCGGGACCCTGATAGGCGTCCAGCTTCACCGGACACTGCAGGGCGTCTTTCAGAACCTGCACCAAAGTTGTCATGTGGGAGGTTTGACCGTGCCTGCCTCTCTCCTCTCCTGCTGCTCTTTCTCGGGCTTCTGCATTTTGGGTCTGAGAGGACAGGCGGGACACAGCGTCTGGTTGCTTTGATCTGCCTTTGCCTCATTCCTCATGGGCTTGGGCAGTCTGTCTTTTTCATTAAAAAAAAAAAATCTATCTATTTGAAAGGCAAAATTAGAGGCAGAGACAGAGACAGAGATCTTCCACCTGCTGGTTCACGCCCCTAATGACTGCAGCAGCCAAGGCTGGGCCAAGCTGAAGCCAGGAGCCCAGAACTCCATATGGTCTCCCACATGGGTAGCAGGGGCCCGAGCACTTGCGCCCTCTCCCACTGTCTTCCCAGGCCCGTCAGCAGGGAGCTGGATGGGAAGCAGAGCAGCCAGGAAGACATCAGCGCTCCCATATGGTCTGCTGGCATCACCAGCCCCGGCTTAGTCTGCGGCACTACCATGCTGGCCCCAGCTTGGACACTTTTTCCATGTATTCATTTGCTGAACAGATTGCCCTATCCACGAATTATCTGTTCATTTTTGGCTATTTTCCTATTGGGTTCTTTTCTTGTTTCTTCTTATCAATTTTACTAAGGCATGTTTTCACTTTGTCTTTTGTTGTACAGAGGTTTTTGTTGTTCTAGCCAAATTTATCCATTTTTTCCTTTGAATTTTTAAAAAGTCTATGTTTATTTATTCCTTTCTGTTCCTATGATTCTTCATTTGTACCTTTTCTAGCCCCCTTTAAAAGTCCATCTCCTAGGGGCCAGCGTTGTGGTGCGGTGGGTTAAGCTGCAGCCTGCAATGCCAGCATCCCATATGGGCACCAGCTTGAATCCCAGCTGCTCCACTTCCAATCCAACTCCCTGCTAATGTGCCTGAAAAAGCAGCAGCTAACGGACCACGTGCTTGGGCCCTTGCCACCCACACGGGAGACCTGCATGAAGTTCCACACTCCTGACTGCGGCCTGGCCTGGCTCCAGCTATTAGCAAGCGTCTGAGGAAGTGAACAGCAGATGGGCAATCTCTCTATGTATGTCTTCCTTTCTCCCTGCCTTTCAAATAAATAAATACATCTTTTTAAAAGTCCATCTCATTTACTTGGTTCACTCATTTACTGTGATGAAAAAGATGTTTAAAAATGTTTTCTCCTTGGTTTTCAATTTAACCATTTTTGTTGATTTTAGGTTGTTTTCACTGTTAAAACACAAAGGTCATTTTTTTTTGACAGGCAAAGTGGACAGTGAGAGAGAGAGAGAGCAGAGAGAAAGGTCTTCCTTTTGCCACTGGTTCACCTTCCAATGGCCGCCGCGGCCGGCGCACCACGCTGATCCGATGGCAGGAGCCAGGTGCTTCTACTGGTCTCCCATGCGGGTGCAGGGCCCAAGGACTTGGGCCTTCCTCCACCGCCTTCCCAGGCCAGAGCAGAGAGCTTGCCTGGAAGAGGGGCAACCGGGACAGAATCCAGCGCCCCGACTGGGACTAGAACCCGGTGTGCCGGCGCCGCAAGGTGGAGGATTAGCCTATTGAGCCGCGGCGCCGGCCCACAAAGGTCATTTTTTATAAATATTTTTATTTATTTATTTGAAAGGCAGAGTTACAGACAAAGAGAAGGAGAGACAGAGAAAAAGGTCTTCCATCTGCTGGTTCACTCCCCAAATGGCCACAATGGCCAGAGCTGGGCTGATCCAAAGCCGGGAACCAGGGTCTCCCTTATAGGTGTAGGGGCCCAAGCACTTGGGCCATCCTCCACTACTCTCCCAGTCCATAAGTGGAGAGCTAGATTGGAAGAGAAGCAGCTGGGACACAAACCAGCGCTCACATGGGATGCTGGCACTGCAGGCAGAGGCTTAGCCAACAATGCCATAGCACCAGCACCCCCCCAAAAGTCATTTTTTCAAATATAATTTTAAAATTCCAGTGCCATAGTTCATTGCACTTGTCCACGTATTTTGTGGTTTTTATGCTGTCCCTTGTTCTCATCTTTTACACCTTTGTTCTTTGTTGACTCTATCATGAGCATCCATCAGTAGTATACCCCCATGGGTGGCACATATAATAATGTCTCTATTTTGTCTTTACAACTGCTGGACAGTTTAGCTGGATATAGAACCCCAGAAAGACTGTACAGAAAGCTCTCTGCACTGTACATGTCACATTTTATAATCACAGATGGTTTGATGACTGTGTGTCTCCCACCGGAATGACTTTTGCTTGTGTGTTCCCTGTGTAGCCACCCTAGAACAATGCCAGGCACTGGTAGGCCTTGAATAAACAGATACTGAATGAATGAGTGTGTGAATGAGTGAATCCTTCACAAGGCTCTGTGTCCTCGAGGGCCAGGTGGGCATCTTCCCGCACGGGGCTGAGCTGCAGGGTCCTGCCCAGTGCCCAGGAGGAGCCAAACTTCAGAGCAGGAACACAAAAATGCAGCCAATGTCCAAAACAAAACAGGGAGCGCTATTCTGAGACATGAGTGCCTTTTGAAGAAGCCAACTTCGATTCTCTAGCTTCACATTTTCTCCCCTGGCGCTGGCTGCGATGGAGCTGGGAGATTGTACGGAAGCAGACCCTCCTGTTGAAGCGATCCACATTCTGCACAAACTTTCGAAGACCCGCTCACGGGGCGGATTTCGGTCGAGTCGTCATCCTTAAGTGGCGTGT